TGTTGAGGCTGTGAGTCTCGAAGAAACCAGTTCAGCTCTTTCTCTAAAGACAGTTGTGTCTGCTTTCCCAGGGCAGAGACCTAGCCTAAGCGGTGGAGGGTAGGCTTGGGGGCTGGAGATCAATTAGTATGAGCCATGCTTTAGCAGCTAAGCACAGGGTAGCCATGGCTGCAGCGTGGAACCTGGATGTTCCACCTCTGTGACCACGGGTCTGGCTAGCAAAGGATACTGTCCTTAGAACTCCAGCTTTGACTTCGAGCTCTGCCCGGATGTCACAGGGAGCACCGGCCCACAGGCAAAGGGTCTCATGCACTGCCTCTGGGGCCACATGGCCACGTCTGTTGTGGAGTCTTGGAAGGTACTAAGTTATCCCAAATAAGGAAAGCAAAGTAGGAAGAGGTGAAAAGTAACATTTATGATCTTGTTTCACTTCTCACTGGTGTCCATGGACATCCCTCTAAAAACCTGCGACAGTCATCCCATTTTCTAAGAGGCTGGTGCAGGCTGTGAGCTTCTCGGGCAGGTGGGATCCTTGTTTGCTCTCTTAATACCACAGTCTTACAGCACAGGGCCCTTGCACAGCGTTGAATGAAGGTGGTCAGCTAAATGGGAGAGCATGTCACTTAAGGCCCTTCCCTCTCAGTAACTGGGTTGGTTGGCGATTTCTTAAGCCTGAATATTTTTAGCATTACTGTACTGAGGATACTTTACCAAGGTTGGGGAAAATGCGCATCACAAAAGAAACTATGCACCAAAATGAATGTATCTTTTCATCCATTTCCCAGTAACTTCTGAAGCAGCCACCTTTGTGTGAGGGCATCGCTCGAAGTGGAGCATGGCCAGAGCTGGAGTCCAGCTCCACGCTCAGCTTGTTCCCCGTGGAACCTGTCGGCTTCCAGGTGTTTCGGCACCCCAGCTCTACTGGCGGTGGCTTCCTCTGACCCCCATACACTCTGTTTTCCCTGGGAGGAATGGAGTTGGCTTGGAAGCACTGGGGACAGACAGGTGGCACCTAGGAGAAAACCGGGACCTGTCCTTTAAGTGACCCAGGCCGGTCTTGAGACCAAAATGCCGAGAAAGTGTTTTGATTTTCGTAAGCGGAAAAACCTGTATTTTCTCATAAGCCTCCGTGTTAATATTCTGAGTTCCCTTAGTGAGTGGAGTATAGGAGGCATATTTTTAATTTATTTTTATTGGAAAGTCAGATTTACAGATAAAAGGAGAGACAGAGCTTCCGTCCTCAAGTGGCCACAGCAGCCAGAGCTGACCTGATCTGAAGCCAGGAGCTTCTTCTGGGTCTCCCACACGGGTGCAGGGTCCCAAAGCTTTGGGCTGTCCTCGACTGCTTTCCCAGGCCACAGGCAGGGAGCTGGATGGGAAGTGGGGCAGCCGGGGAGTGACCTGGAGCCCATAAGGGATCCTGTTGAACGCCAGGTGAGGACTTTACACCTCCCAGGCCTGGCACGGTAGCTTAGTGGCTAATTTCATGTACTCAGCATTGAGGGCTGTGCACGCCATTAGCAGAGTCAGTCTACAGGGATGGTACAGCATTTCCAAAATGGGCTTGAGGGACCCCGTTTTAATCCATGCATTTGAGCACCATTTATCTCCTAAACATTGTACAGGGCCTTAGTACGTGCTGATAGTGAACAACATAAGATGAGGTCCCTGTCCCCAAGAAGCTCATAATCCAAAATCACCTTTTTTGAGATCATAAACCCCTTAGAAAATGTGATAACAGTTGCAGATTCTTACCAAAAGTCATCTGGCCAGACCTCACAGTCTCTGAGGCCATGGCCTGGGCATCCGTGGAGTAGGAGAGCCACTGGAGAGAAGTAGAAAGACAAGAAAGGACATGTGTGTTCTTAGGTCACCTAAGTAAGGGAGCTCATGATGGCCTCAGCCTGGGACACACGCGGGACGTCCCCTTGTGCCCGGAGCAGGGTCTGTCCTCTCAGACCTGCGCTTCTAGCTGCGCCGTGGGGAGGGCACCTGTACAGCCATGCAGCTGTCCAGCCACGACTGGCTGGGACCGGACGAACCCCCGTGCAGGATGCCGGGTGAGATGGGACACAGAGACGTGCTGAAGGAACATGCCTTCCAGCTCCTCACCTTTTCCTCCACGAGGAGCAGCCGCACTCCGCTGTGAGCTCAGCTGGCGCTCTGGGGAGAAAACAAGCAAATGTTGGGAGAAAAGCTTTGGCAGCTGGACAGGAGGCAGGACAGGCCTGGGAACAGGCATGTCCCTGAGCTGACTGTGACCTCAGGTATCCTAAATACGACGAGTTAGCTTCCATTGCCAACCCCTGCACGCACACAGCACCCGAACTGCATCAGGATCCCTCCCGCCTTTAGGGATCTTCTCCTTTGCCTCCTGGGAAATTCCTGTTCAAATTTCATACATACCGAATCATTTTTTCCCAAGAAGAGGTTGGGTATATACCACAGATGAAAAGAGGCAGGAAGAGTAAAATACTTACTTAAACACATATGGGGCAGTACTTTGCAGGGTTGGAGGCCCAGATTAAGATGCAGAGGAGCGTGCGAGGTTGATGATTATATTTCGGGGAGAGTTAATTGATGGAAGGTGAAGGCAGACAAAGAACCGCTGCTTACTGCCTTCTTGAATCCCAATCAGGAATTATGATTAAAGTCGCAGCGAGACAACAGAGGGCTGATGAATTGGTGTCTTTTTTTTTTTCTTTTTTGCCGTCATTCACACTTGATTGACTTCAACCTTTCAAGTGCAAAAGTCTCTCTTTTCCATTATTATTCATAGCCATCTGAGTTTTTCTAATTAAAGTGTATGAAAACAATTACTGATCCATCGTACTGAGTCTGTTAGAGGGGGTGTCTGCCTTGCTGGAATGCCTAGCGAAGCCCACAGTTTTCTATAATGATGTGCAGCTGAGGTGTTAGATAATTTTATTCTTTTTTACTCTGTAGGGCTTTTTTATTTCTCATGATTCGTTTTTCATAATTCCTAAAGGTCCCAGGAAAGGACTGATCCTCCAGCTACAACCGAGAAAGGAGGTGGGGGGGTCTTTTTTCCTTTCCCTTTCTCCCCCTCGGACCCCCAACCTCGTGCCCCCCCTTGGCTGAGGACTATAAATTAACCGGTGACCTTTCACTTCTTGGATTCCCGCTGGACTCCCCAACCACACTGGTCAGAAATGCTTTCTATTAAAAAGAAAATAGACAGAATGAGTTTGGCAATCTCCATTCCATTCCTAACGCTTCATCAACAGCTAGCCCTAACCAGCTGCCGCCGGGTGTCGTTGGAGGGTGCCGACGCAGGCAGGAGTGCTGTGTCACATGCTCACCTGCCAAGCACCTGCTCTTCGTAAACACGGGTGCTCCGAGAACCCTCCTCGCGCGTGCCTGTGGCCTAATTCGTGCACCTCTTGCTGTCTGGGTTGCTGAAATACTCTAATATCCTTCCGTGTGATGGAGGAGTCATCTTTTTGGTGCTGACAGGGGTGGTTTTAAGGGCTTCCTCTCAGCCTTGAGCCTGCCGCTGACAACACTTGCAAACGCTCTGCAAACCATTCAAAAATTACTAGGTTAGTTAAAAATAGTTGTTTTGAACAGATATTTCTGCATTCTAATCTTGATTATTTCACAGTCAGCTTTGCTGAGAAAATAATGCTTCCAAGTATGGCAGGGCACATGTCAAGAGAACAAGGGACAGTACTTGCTGTTCCTGTCTTGGGCTGTCATTATATGGGGGCCAATTTCCAGCTCACTTAGAAATATCATCACAGGGCCTGGCGCAGTAACCTAGCAGCTAAAGTCCTTACCTTGAACATGTCGGGATCCCATAAGGGTGCCGGTTCTAATCCCAGCAGCCCAGCATCCCATCCAGCTCCCTGCCTGTGGCCTGGGAAAGAAGTAGAGGATGGGCCAAAGCCTTGGGGCCCAAAGCCTTGGGACCCTGCACCCGTGTGGGAGACCCATATGATGCTCCAGGCTGCTGGCTTCAGATCGGCTCAGCAGTGGCTGTTGTGGCCACTTGGAGAATGAATCATCGGACGGAAGATCTTCCTCTCTCATCACAACTCTTCCCATTTCCCCGTAGGAGGTATAGGGGCTCCTGCTCTAGGCTTGAACTGAGAGCCTTGTATTTGCTCTGTTGGACACAGAGGATGGCTTTACCTCATGAACACAGGGCAAATGACAACTGGTTTGGCCAGGTGGCAGGGAGACCCAGAGAAAGGTCCGAGGATCTGGCTTAAAATCGTTGCTGTCTGGATCCGGGCTGCGTTCAGAAGTGCTAACAGAGAGTAATGGCCATGGTCACAGCGCCGAGTGCCTCCAGCACAGGCCAGGTGTTTCTCCTGATACCGTCTGCCTCTGGAAGGAACCCGAGCGGGAGGGAGTCGGGACCAACGCTTGTGTGCGGTTGATGTCAGTCTGCAAAGGGTTACAAAATGCTGCTTCCTGGCAGATGTGCCAGCGCATCTGGGTGTCCTCAGCCTTCCCTTTGTTCTCTCCTCCCCTTCTCACCCTTTCCTTCACTCTTCCGCCCCTCCTCTTCTTGCCTGAATACATTTTGAAAACAGTACTACAATGCTCCCTGCTTCAAGATTACAGTGTACTTTACTAGGTATGATTTAATTAGGGCCCTTATTATGTTTTCAGCAGCTTAAGGTGGGCCTTCAACTTATCTACCTAATTGGTTGCACAAGAAGTTTCACAGCCCATGACAAAACATTGTCAGTGATCAAAGTCAAAATTCTGCATAAAGGAAAAATATTAATAATAAGATTATTCTTCAAGTGTGCACTGCTAATTATGTCCAGAATGTAACCGTAGAAACACTTTTGACTGATGTGAGCTTTGTCTAATAAACATGAGTCCTCAGTGAGCTATGAAAAGTGACACCTCCAGCTTTACACTGGTGGAGGCTAATTCTGCTTATTAGATCATTTTTAAACCTTCCCTAGTTGGTGTCCTCTCCCCATGTGGCACTCACTGTTTGTCGTTTCCTCGCTCCCCAGGTGACCACTCCTGAGATGGTGATGCCCAGCAGCATGTTCCTGCCTGCGGCTGTTCCAGACCGGGATGGGAGCTCCAATTTGGAAGAGGCAGGAAAGCATCCTGGTTAGTAGCCTTCATCTTGACCCCTGGGAATTGAATCAGGATAAAGTTGTGAGCAGAAATGTTCCTGGGGTGAGGCTGTGGTTCCTCACGGTGCTCCCAGGCTCGGGGTGACTCCCCAGGATGGGTGGGGCACTCACACCCTCTGCTTCAGCCTCTGCATCTCTGCCGGTTTTCAGCACGTCTGTGTTACAAAGTGAGGGAACGAAGCAGCAGCGTGTCTGTCAGCGGGCCTGCAGACTCACAGTCCTGAGCCGGTCAATGCGACATCCGTAAGGGTTTCCTGACCTGGGACTTGGGGAGCATGCAGGCTGATGTTGGGGCACTGGACTGTGTACCCAGGAGCTGCCTCATGCCCAGAGTCCTCCGGGGCTGCCTGGAGGAGGTGGCACGGAGGTGCAGAAACACCGGTGTAGGAGATACACACGCCGGAGACGCCTGGGGCCGCACTGCAGCGCCATCAGGTCTCTGACTGTGACTGGCCAAAGCACTTAAGATTTAAAAGTTAGGAAGAATTCAGTCATTCCACTGCAGTCACTCCTCCTGTGGTTTCTCCTGTGGAGGTACAGCCTGAATAGGAGGCTATATAAATAAGCCTGATGATTTTATTGTAGGAAGAAATGTTTTAATGGGAAATCATTCAAATAAAAATCACCCTTGCAGTGTTTGGTATATTCCAGTGGACAGTTCTTGTACCTTCCCTGCAACTTGAGAAACAGCATTAATTCACATATTCCATAATTCACTACGCTAAATTATAATTACGTAAAAGCTTAACATTAAAGGTTACATCATGCAAAGTCACAGGCCTTCAACCAATTCTTGAGAAACTGAGGGCTCCGAGTTAAGCAATTAAATAGATCTTTGATGTAACACTCCTATTACAAGATAAAAATTGGTATTTTATTGGTCTTTATACCCTGTTGATAATATGTATAAGGTCACTTCAAGTCTGTGGAATGTAAGTTAAGAGAGATGTTTACTTCAGTGCAAAGCAATCTTTGAAACCCATGTGTACTGGGGGACTTAAAAGACTAAAGAATGCATATTATGAAAAAACTACACAGGATTTCAAAATATTTGTGTACAAAAGTAAACTCATCTTTTGAGTGGCATTTTCGGTAGATTTCAGGGACAAAGTGGAAGGCACAGGTCTGTTGTTCAGGTTAGGGTTCTCTGTGCCCTGGGGGTGTCCTTGGAGCAGAGCTGCCTTGACCTTTGGCTTTGCCGTTCTTCCAGAAACCTCAGAGGACGTGGGGAAGAGCATCCTGCCGTCGGTGAGCACAGAGCACAGTGGAGACTTGAAACCTGCTCCTGCTGATCCGAGCTCCGGGAGAGAAGATTCAGGCTTCCTGTGCTGGAAGAAGGGGTGCAACCAGGTTTTCAAGACATCCGCCGCCCTTCAGGCACATTTCAATGAGGTGCACGCCAAGAGGCCCCAGCTGCCCGTGTCCGACCGCCATGTGTACAAGTACCGCTGCAACCAGTGCAGCCTGGCGTTCAAGACCATCGAGAAGCTGCAGCTCCACTCCCAGTACCATGTGATCAGAGCCGCCACCATGTGCTGTCTTTGTCAGCGCAGTTTTAGAACTTTCCAGGCTTTGAAAAAGCACCTTGAGACAAGCCACCTGGAGTTGAGCGAGGCTGACATACAGCAACTTTACGGCGGCCTTCTGGCCAACGGGGACCTCCTGGCAATGGGAGACCCCACCCTGGCAGAGGACCACACCATTATTGTTGAGGAAGACAAAGAGGAAGAGAGTGACCTGGATGACAAACAGAGCCCAACGGGCAGTGACTCTGGGTCGGTGCAAGAAGACTCGGGCTCAGAGCCAAAGAGAGCTCTGCCTTTCAGAAAAGGCCCCAATTTTACGATGGAAAAATTTCTAGATCCTTCTCGCCCTTACAAATGTACTGTGTGCAAGGAATCTTTCACTCAAAAGAATATTCTGCTAGTGCACTACAACTCTGTCTCCCATCTGCATAAGTTGAAGAGAGCCCTTCAAGAATCGGCAACTGGTCAGCCAGAACCCACGAGCAGCCCGGACAACAAACCTTTTAAGTGTAATACTTGTAACGTGGCCTACAGCCAGAGTTCCACTCTGGAGATCCACATGAGGTCTGTACTGCATCAAACCAAGGCCCGGGCGGCCAAGCTGGAGGCCGCCAGCGGCAGCGGCAACGGCAGCGCCGTCTCCCTCAGCTCCTCCTCCGCGCCCAGCCCCGTGAGCACCAGCGGCAGTAACACCTTTACCACCACCAATCCAAGCAGCGCTGGCATCGCTCAGAGCTCCAACCTCCTGAGCCAGGTGCCCCCAGAAAGCGTGGGGATGCCGGCCCTGGGGAATCCCCTCGGGGCCACCCTTGCTTCAACATCAGAGCCCAAGGAGGCCAACCGGAAAAAGCTGGCAGATATGATTGCCTCCAGGCAGCAGCAGCAGCAGCAGCAGCAGCAACAACAGCAACAACAGCAAGCACAGACCCTGGCTCAGGCCCAGGCCCAGGCCCAAGTTCAAGCTCACTTGCAACAGGAGCTGCAGCAGCAGGCCGCCCTCATCCAGTCTCAGCTGTTTAACCCCACTCTCCTTCCTCACTTCCCCATGACCACCGAGACCCTGCTGCAGCTGCAGCAGCAGCAGCACCTGCTCTTCCCCTTCTACATCCCCAGTGCCGAGTTCCAGCTCAACCCCGAGGTGAGCCTGCCGGTGACCAGTGGGGCGCTGACGCTGACGGGCAGTGGCCCAGGCCTGCTGGAGGATCTGAAGGCCCAGGTTCAGGTCCCGCAGCAGAGCCACCAGCCCATCCTGCAGCAACAGCAGCAGCAGCAAAGCCAGCTCTCTCTGTCCCAGAGTCACTCTGCCCTCCTCCAGCCGAGCCAACATCCCGAAAAGAAAAACAAACTGGTCATCAAAGAAAAGGAGAAAGAGTGCCAGAGAGAGAGGGATGGTGCTGAGGGAGGGGAGGGCAGTGTGGGAGCAAAGGACTCGCTGCCAGATGCCTTGAAGGCCAAAGAGAAGAAAGAGCCCGTGCCAGGGGCCAGTTCCGAGCCTTCCATGCTGCCTCCACGCATCGCCTCGGATGCCAGAGGGAATGCCACCAAGGCCTTGCTGGAGAACTTTGGCTTTGAACTGGTAATTCAGTACAATGAGAACAAGCAGAAGGTGCAGAAGAAGAACGGGAAGACGGAGCAGGGCGAGAACTTGGAAAAGCTCGAGTGCGACTCCTGTGGCAAGTTGTTTTCTAACATCTTGATCTTGAAGAGTCACCAAGAGCATGTTCACCAGAACTACTTTCCCTTCAAACAGCTCGAGAGGTTTGCCAAGCAGTACCGAGAGCACTATGATAAACTGTACCCCTTGAGACCCCAGACCCCAGAGCCACCCCCTCCTCCCCCGCCACCTCCACCACCCCCGCTCCCTGCGGCGCCCCCTCAACCAGCCACCACGCCAGCCATTCCCGTCTCGGCCCCACCCATCACCTCACCCACCATCGCCCCGGCCCAGCCGTCGGTGCCGCTCACTCAGCTCTCCATGCCCATGGAGCTGCCCATCTTCTCTCCACTCATGATGCAGACGATGCCACTGCAGACCCTGCCGGCGCAGCTGCCCCCTCAGCTGGGGCCTGTGGAGCCTCTGCCCGCGGACCTGGCCCAGCTGTACCAGCACCAGCTCAATCCCACCCTGCTCCAGCAGCAGAACAAGCGGCCCCGCACCCGGATCACCGACGACCAGCTCCGTGTGCTGCGGCAGTATTTTGACATTAACAACTCACCCAGCGAGGAGCAGATCAAAGAGATGGCAGATAAGTCTGGCCTGCCCCAGAAAGTGATCAAGCACTGGTTCAGGAACACGCTCTTCAAGGAGCGGCAGCGCAACAAGGACTCCCCGTACAACTTCAGCAACCCGCCCATCACCAGCCTGGAGGAGCTCAAGATCGACTCGCGGCCCCCCTCGCCGGAACCCCAGAAGCAGGAGTACTGGGGAAGCAAGAGGTCGTCCAGGACCAGGTTTACCGACTACCAGCTCCGAGTGCTCCAGGACTTCTTTGATGCCAACGCCTACCCCAAGGACGATGAGTTTGAGCAGCTCTCCAATCTGCTGAACCTTCCGACCCGAGTCATAGTGGTGTGGTTTCAGAATGCCCGACAGAAGGCCCGGAAAAATTATGAGAACCAGGGAGAGGGCAAAGATGGCGAGCGGCGGGAGCTTACAAACGATAGGTACATTCGAACGAGCAACTTGAACTACCAGTGCAAAAAATGCAGCCTGGTGTTTCAGCGCATCTTTGATCTCATCAAGCACCAGAAGAAGCTGTGCTACAAGGACGAGGACGAGGAGGGGCAGGATGACAGTCAAAATGAAGATTCCATGGATGCCATGGAAATCCTGACGCCCACCAGCTCGTCCTGCAGCACCCCGATGCCCTCGCAGGCCTACAGCGCCCCGGCGCCATCTGCCAACCCAGCTCCTCCTGCTTTCCTGCCACTCACAGCCGAGGCTGACGAACTGGCCACGTTCAACTCCAAAGCTGAGGCGAGTGATGAGAAACCAAAGCTGGCTGAACCTCCCAGTGCACAGCCAAACCAAACTCAAGAAAAGCAAGGACAAGCAAAGGCAGAGCTGCAGCAGCAGGACCAGCCGGAGCCGAAGTCCACCGCGCCCCAGCCGAAGCTCCCGCAGCTGGCCTCCCCGCCTGCCTTGCCGCAGCCTCCTCCGCAAGCGCCCCCTCCTCAATGCCCCTTGCCCCAGTCAAGCCCCAGTCCTTCTCAGCTCTCCCACCTGCCCCTCAAGCCCCTCCATACATCAACTCCTCAACAGCTGGCAAACCTACCTCCTCAGCTCATCCCCTACCAGTGTGACCAGTGTAAGCTGGCGTTTCCGTCGTTTGAGCACTGGCAGGAGCATCAGCAGCTGCACTTCCTGAGCGCGCAGAACCAGTTCATCCACCCCCAGTTTCTGGACAGGTCGCTGGACATGCCTTTCATGCTCTTTGATCCCAGTAACCCACTCCTGGCCAGCCAGCTGCTCTCTGGGGCCATCCCGCAGATTCCAGTGAGTTCAGCCACTTCTCCTTCCACTCCGACCTCCACGATGAACACGCTCAAGAGGAAGTTGGAGGAGAAGGCCAGTGCAAGCCCTGGGGAAAACGACAGCGGGACAGGGGGAGAGGAGCCACAGAGGGACAAGCGCCTGAGGACGACTATCACACCTGAGCAGCTGGAGATTCTCTACCAGAAGTACCTGCTGGACTCCAATCCGACTCGAAAGATGTTGGACCACATCGCACACGAAGTGGGCTTGAAGAAACGCGTGGTGCAGGTCTGGTTTCAGAACACCCGGGCTCGGGAGAGGAAGGGACAGTTCCGGGCCGTGGGCCCGGCGCAGGCCCACAGGAGGTGCCCTTTTTGCAGAGCACTCTTTAAGGCCAAGACGGCCCTGGAGGCTCACATCCGGTCCCGTCACTGGCACGAAGCTAAGAGAGCCGGCTACAACCTAACCCTGTCTGCGATGCTCTTGGACTGTGATGGCGGACTCCAGATGAAAGGGGATATTTTCGACGGAGCTGGCTTTCCCCACCTGCCCCCGAGCAGCAGTGACAGTCAGGGTGCGCCCCTCTCACCGGTGAGTAAAACCATGGAGCTGTCGCCCAGGACTCTCCTTAGCCCTTCCTCCATCAAGGTGGAGGGGATTGAAGACTTTGAAAGCCCCTCCATGTCCTCAGTTAATCTAAACTTTGACCAAACCAAGCTGGACAATGATGACTGCTCCTCTGTCAACACGGCCATCACGGACACCACGACTGGGGATGAGGGCAATGCCGACAACGACAGTGCGACAGGGATAGCAACCGAAACCAAATCTTCTGCCGCGCCCAACGAAGGGCTGACCAAAGCAGCCATGATGGCGATGACCGAGTACGAAGATCGGCTCTCCTCTGGTCTGGTCAGCCCCGCCCCGAGCTTCTACAGCAAGGAGTATGACAATGAAGGTACTGTGGACTACAGTGAGACTTCCAGCCTTGCCGACCCCTGCTCCCCGAGTCCTGGAGCCAGCGGGTCTGCAGGCAAGTCTGGTGACGGCGGGGATCGACCCGGGCAGAAACGTTTTCGCACTCAGATGACCAACCTGCAGCTGAAGGTCCTCAAGTCATGCTTTAATGACTACAGGACGCCCACGATGCTGGAGTGTGAGGTCCTGGGCAATGACATCGGACTGCCAAAGAGAGTCGTTCAGGTCTGGTTCCAGAATGCCCGGGCAAAAGAGAAGAAGTCCAAGTTAAGCATGGCCAAGCATTTTGGTATAAACCAAACAAGTTACGAGGGACCCAAGACTGAGTGCACTTTGTGTGGCATCAAGTACAGCGCGCGACTGTCTGTACGTGACCATATCTTTTCCCAACAGCATATCTCCAAAGTTAAAGACACCATTGGAAGTCAGTTGGACAAGGAGAAAGAGTACTTTGACCCAGCCACTGTACGTCAGTTGATGGCTCAACAGGAGTTGGACCGGATTAAGAAGGCCAACGAGGTCCTTGGACTGGCAGCTCAGCAGCAAGGGATGTTTGACAACGCCCCTCTGCAGGCTCTGAACCTTCCTACGGCGTACCCCGCACTCCAGGGCATTCCTCCTGTGTTGCTCCCTGGCCTCAACAGCCCCTCCTTGCCAGGCTTTACTCCATCCAACACAGGTGGGTTCTGCTCTGAGCAGTTCTGCCTACATTTAGCATTGAGATAGGTGCCTAGCACCCAAACTGTTGCTTTGGGGAAGTGGCAAGTTCCCTTTCCAGTTCTCTGCAAGCAGAGAGGTGTCTCCCCCGATCGAGTCTCTGTGCTTATTTGTTTTAGGATGGGATCTTGAGGTTGGAACAGTCACCTCTGAAACCACTCACGTCTTTGCTGTTGAGTAGCAAAACCAGGATGTTGCTCACAGCTGGGACTGAGTGTCCTGGTGTATTCTGTCACAGCCTCTAGATTTCCTCGTGGGAATGCCAATCCCATTAGGTATCTGTTGCAAATATTAGGCACTGCAATGAGCAGTTAGTTAAGCAACCCTTTCTGTTCAAGTCCCAGCTGCCCCTGTTCTGATCCAGCCTCTTGCTGACACACCTACAAGAGCAGCGGGAGAGGAACCATTACTTGGGGACCAGGCCTTCAGGCTCCTGCCTTTGGCCGGGCTGGCATGGCCATCTGGGGACTCTCCAAGTTGATGGGCACTCTCTCCTTCTGTCTCTTTGCCCAAGAAATAAATCTTCGGGGTTATGGGGGAAGAACCCAGCCTGTTCTAGATAATACCCTATGCAGACTGGACTAAAACAAGTCTTCGGCCCTCCCCTGAATTCCGTGCCTTCTTCATGGAATGGCTGCAGTGCGAGTTATTCCTGGTACTCTCTTCCAGGCAGAACAATGGTGGCTTCATCTGTCCCATAAAGAGACTGCCCTTCCACCTGGGTGCACTTGTCAGCAGTCTTGGATCAGACACTGTGCCTCCTAGTTACGCCATGTCCATGGTCATCCTCTAAACAAGACTACCGAAGCTCCTTTGGGGCTCCTCGGTCCCCACTGCCCTTCCTATCTCCCTGTCCTCGCCTGACTCACGCTTGCTCTGTGTATATCCTCACCGTCCTGAGTGCCTGCCCGTGTTCCTCTGTCCTCACCCATCTTCTCCGGATTCAGCTCGCTTTGCTAGGTTGCACTTGGACTCCCAGGGTCCTGTGAGGCTTAGGCATAAGTCAGCCCTTGCCCCTCACCACAACCAGTATCCACCAGGGCAGAAACCTTGGTGTCGCCTTTCCTTCAAACATACCCACGTGACCAGCAGTGGACAGCTTTTATTTCTCGTGGACCTAATTCGTAGCTTTATAATTTTGGCAATGTTTAATACAGCATTCCTTGTCTCACTTAGTGGCCACAGGGAACATGGAAGGAAAGCATTGTAATGGAGAGGTTGCTCCATGTGTGTCTGTGTGTGTTGGCACAGAGTGGTGCGACCACCCAGCTAGACCTCTGCCACGCGGCCAGGGCAGTGCGTTCTCCACAGAGCCCAGGACCTTGGCAGAGGGGCGTGGGCATGCTCAACAGAAATCCCAACATTGTCGACAGGGTACAATCAGAATGATCTCTTCCCTTGTTATACAGAGGAGAAAACTGAGGCCACGGAGGCCAAGACCAGAGCTCCCACCCAGGCCTCGTGTGAGCCAGTCAGCAGCTCCGTGTGTGGTGCTGCTCGGGTTCTGACCACGCAGAGCAGAGTCAAGACAGAAAGTCATGCTTCCAGTGCAAGGCCACCAGAGGTGTCCCAGTCACCATCTGCTGACGGCTCTACATCAGGACTGGGGCGGGGGGCAAGTTAGTGCTTAAGCATCTGTCAGGCCAACGCTCAGATCTTGCGCTGTAATTCCTAACCACCACCCCAGCTCCGAGAGTTTGAGCTGCCGGGGTCACACACCTGGGGTCTGTCAGTCATGATCCATGCGGGGCTGGGGGCTCATTTAGCTATTGCACCTGCCCTGCCTCACGCAGACCTTGGTCACCAGCAAGGCTGCCGTAAATGCTTCTCAGGTTTTTTCCTCTCTTTTGGGTGATGACACAGAATCCTCTAAAGGCGTCCTGACCTGACTCTTCCTCCTACAAGCTAGAAGCTGTGGGTGTGGGGGAGAAGAGTCCTCTCTAGCCATTCTTCCTTCGCCCCCAGAGATCTCCTGCCTCTGGCCCCAGCCTGAGAACCGGAGCAGACCCACAGTCTTGTGGTAAACCAAAACAGGCACATCTCCTCACTCAGCCTGTCTCTGCCTCCTGAGTCAGCTCACCAGACCAGCTTCTACTCCGCTTTCCCTGAGTGACCCGCGCCTCTGCTCTCAGGCTCTCACACGCACTGGAGAAATCAGACTATTTAACTCAGCATTTTTCACAGGAGTGACTGTTGACTGTGAGGGAAGCCGCCTCCTTGGCTGTCCGGTGCTGATGAGTGCTTTGCTGGGACTGGCAGCTGGAGGCAGCCTCACTGTTGTCCCCCAGGGAATGCACGGGCTTGGCAGCCGGCAATCTGCGGGCCCATCCACCTCTGGTTTTCCCACAAGGACAGCGTCACCCTAGAAGTCCTCCCCCTGCTTCGCGGCGGCATGGCTCAGGGGAAACAGAAGCTGCCAGCCAGGAAGGAGGGTCAGGGAGCAGATGAGGCCCCGGGCTGCGGTGACAGTCACAGACCTCCACATGCCAAGCAGCAGTGCCCCGAGTAGGCTGAGGGATTGCAGGCAGCCCTGTGCCCGCTGCTCAGGCAGCTCAACTCGACTACTTTTCGTCTACCCCTGCCAGGGATGGAGCCAGCGCGGCCCCAGTGGCAACCCTGGCTGTCATTCACACAGGGGCCCGGGCTGCTCAGGCTTCCAGCCGATTCCAGAAGTCTGTTCCCAGCTGGTTACATTACTGAGCAGACTTGCTGGAGCAGAGGCGCTGGGCCGAGGCGCTGGAGCGGTCTGCCCTGGGTGCTTGTCCTCCATACTCCCCCAGCCATCCGAGATGGCCACACAGCAGACGGCCGTGTGTAGTCTGAGTTTTTGATGAGCCTCGAGGCCTCTCGGGTTCCTGGCCTTCTCCCACACTCCCTGTCCCTTCTGGTCGCCTCTGCTCTCAGACAAGTCAGCCGGGGCCTGGTGGCACCACTTTCTCTGTGGAGCTTTGAACAGGTGGACATGGCACGTCAGGGAGCGGTTGGGCGAAGAGGGGACGAGCTGACGCAAGGCTGGGTGCTCCTCGGGCTACCAGGCTCGTCAACCCTGAGCCTCCCGTCTCGGGAGGACCCTTCATACCGAAATCTGGACATCGTTCTTAGCTTGGTGGCAGTGACACAGATCAAATGTCTTACAACCCACACTGAACTGCTTTCTCTGTCTCCATTCCTTTCAGCTTTAACGTCTCCTAAACCGAACCTGATGGGTCTGCCCAGCACGACAGTTCCTTCCCCTGGCCTCCCCACATCTGGATTACCAAATAAGCCGTCTTCAGCCTCGTTGAGCTCCCCAACCCCAGCACAAGCCACCATGGCGCTGGCCCCCCAGCCGCACCCCCAGCCCCAGCAGCAGCAGCCAGCCCAGGTCCAGCAGCCTGCCCTGCCTCCTGCAGTCCAGCCGCCACCCACGCCCCAGCTCCCGCCCCAGCAGCCGCAGCAGCCACAGCCACGCAAGGACAAAGACTGTGAGAAAGGCAAGGAGAAGGAAAAGGCGCACAAAGGCAAGGGGGAACCTGTGCCTGTCCCCAAGAAGGAGAAGGGCGAGGCCCCCGCGGCGGCGGCCCCGCTGGCGGCCCCGCTGCCCGCCATGGAGTACGCAGTGGACCCCGCGCAGCTGCAGGCCCTGCAGGCCGCTTTGACTTCCGACCCCACAGCGTTGCTCACGAGCCAGTTCCTTCCTTACTTTGTACCAGGCTTTTCTCCTTATTACGCCCCCCAGCTCCCCGGCGCCCTGCAGAGCGGGTACCTGCAGCCCATGTATGGCATGGAAGGCCTGTTCCCCTACAGCCCCGCGCTGTCGCAGGCCCTCATGGGGCTGTCCCCCGGCTCCCTACTGCAGCAGTACCAGCAATACCAGCAGAGTCTGCAGGAGGCCATCCAGCAGCAGCAGCAGCGGCAGCTCCAGCAGCAGCAAAAAGTGCAGCAGCAGCAGCAGCAGCAGCAGCAGCCCAAAGCAAGCCAAACCCCAGTCCCCCAGGGGGCTGCTTCCCCAGACAAAGACCCTGCCAAAGAATCCCCCAAACCAGAAGAGCAGAAAAACGCCCCCCATGAGGTGTCCCCCCTCCTGCCGAAACCCCCCGACGAGCCAGAAGCAGAAGGCAAAAGTGCGGACTCCCTCTACGACCCCTTCATCGTTCCAAAGGTGCAGTACAAGTTGGTCTGCCGCAAGTGCCAGGCGGGCTTCGGCGACGAGGAGGCGGCGCGGAGCCACCTGCAGGCCCTCTGCTGCGGCCAGCCTGTGGCGAACCTGCAGGAGATGGTGCTCCAGGTGCCCACGGGCGGCGGCGGCTCGTACCACTGCCTGGCGTGCGAGAGCGCGCTCTGCGGGGAGGAAGCTCTGAGTCAACATCTCGAGTCGGCCTTGCACAAACACAGAACAATCACGAGAGCAGCAAGAAACGCCAAAGAGCACGCTAGTTTATTACCTCACTCCGCCCGCTTCCCCGACCCTAGCACCGCATCTACCTCGCAGTCTGCCGCTCACTCCAACGACAGCCCCCCGCCCCCGTCGGCCGCCCCCTCGTCCGCCCCCCGCGCCTCCAGGAAGTCTTGGCCGCAAGTGGTCTCCCGGGCTTCGGCCGCGAAGCCCCCTTCTTTTCCTCCTCTCTCCTCATCTTCAACGGTTACCTCAAGTTCATGCAGCACCTCAGGGGTTCAGCCCTCGATGCCAACAGACGACTATTCGGAGGAGTCTGACACGGATCTCAGCCAGAAGTCCGACGGACCGGCGAGCCCGGTGGAGGGGCCCAAAGACCCCAGCTGCCCCAAGGACAGTGGTCTGACCAGTGTAGGAACGGACACCTTCAGATTGTAAGCTTTGAAGATGAACAATACAAATGAATTTAAATAAAAAAAATTAATAACAAACCAATTTCAAAAAAATAGACTAACTGCAATTCCAAAGCTTCTAACCAAAAAAAAAAAAAAATAAAAAATAAAAAAATAAAAAAAATAAAAATAAAAAAAGGAAAAAAAAAAAAAGAAAAAGCGTGGGTTGTTTTCCCATATACCTATCTATGCCGGTGAGTTCACATTCTTACCTTTTCTTTTAATATATTTAAAAACAAACCAACAACAAACGCCCTAACCCTGTCGCATCGTGTCCTTTGGAAGGTACTATTGGTCTGGAAACACAAGTCCGCAGGGCCTCCCCAGTGTCCTTGGCGCTTCGCCCCCTTGTATAGTCGCCCCTCCATAGCCGCCCCACGTTGATAGCACAGAGGAGCCCGGCATGCTCTGTATGGGAAAGCAGTCCACCTTGGTACAGTTTTAAATTTCTTGCTATCTTAGCATTCAGATACCAATGGCTTGCTAAAAGAAAAAGAAGAAATGTAATGTCTTTTTATTCTCAGGTCAATCGCTCACACTTTGTTCTGTTTCCAGAATCATTGTTTTATTAATTTTTTTTTTCAGTTCTCTTTTTCTTTTTTGTTCCAGAAAATTTTTGCTGTTTTTGTTGTTAATTTAAAAACGGGCAGAAAGTATTCAAGTGAAACAATGTGAACTGCTTTAAGCTTTCTGGGGATTTTTAAGGATAGCTTTTTTGCTGAAGCCAATTTCAAGGGGAAAAGTTAAGCACTCCCACTTTCAGAATAAATAACCCACACACACAAAGAGTGTTGAGGACTTGTAGCTTAAAAAGAAAAGTAAGTTTTAAAAACTGACTTTCTGTATTTATGATAGATATGACCATTTTTTGGTGTTGAGTAGATTGTTGCATTGGAAATGAAATGAAGCAGTATGGTAGATTTAAAAGGAGAAAAAAAAATCTTTTGTGTACATTTAGCTTTTTGTATGGTCCAACTGACAGCTCCTCATTTGATGTTGTCTTGTTCCTTCCTAGCAGATAGATTACAATCCGTTGATTCGCCTAAACTTTTCTCCCCTTTGTCCCTGACTCCCGTCTCCCTCCTGCCCTCTGATCTCCCACCTAAGGTAGCTGCCTTCCTTTCTTAGAGGGTAGCTGCAGAATTATTTTATAAAACTAAAAAAAGAAAAAAAAAATTTTTTCCAAGGATTCTAGGGGTCATCAGGACCCCCCCGATTATTTTTGGGGAGTCGAACCTTCTAGAAGGCATCCTGTTGTAGTTACCTATGTCTGTTAGGCTTGCGTATTTCTTTGTTGTTCTTCTGGCTTTTCTTTGCATTCCTCCTTTTCCTCTGTTTGGTAGATATTTCAAATGTTCTTTTCCTAAAAAACTGCAAGCTCTAGTTTGTTTCATTTTGTGTGATTGGGCCATGTGCTTTTCTTAAAAAAAAAAAAGTTTTTGGTTAGGGGTTTGGTTTTTGTTTTTGTGTTTTCCTCTCTCAGAAAAAGAAATTTCATGCTTTAAATAAAATCCAAAGACACACCCTTTCACTGCTGATGCAGAAAAAAGGGAAAGGGTTCTTGTTACTTGAGAATTTGTTTCTGATTTAAACAAGACTTAGTTTGATAAAACAAAGAGCAAAACAGAAGATTCCCAGGTTGTTGTATGCCTCTTGTGCGAGTAGAGAGGCAAGCAGAAATGACAATTCCATATACCAAAAGACCAAAAGTAGCTTTTATTACTTCAAAGTCTTGTCCTTGTGTTAGGCAGTCTGAGCAGCAGGCGACCCAGAGCAGAGCCAGCACAGCAGCAGACAGCCAAGGAAGCGGACGGGAGGCACATGGGTTCACGTTGAGAGCCATACTCCTGGAACACACCACACAGCGCCACACACACGTTCTCCTCTTTACAAGCAAAACATGGTCTGAACTTTGAAAACTTCGTGCTGCTAAAAATGTAGATTTTGGAAACAAATAGATGCTTTGCTGTTTCACTTCCATAGCCAAACATCAGCAGAAACAACCCCCCCCCACTGTACCCCAAAGAGTGTGAGGTCCTTCCCCCCTCCATCTCTTCCTTAGGGTTCAAAAGGGAACTCCACGACTGTGAATGCAGGTCCCATAGGTCACCCTTCCGGCTTCTCTCCCCAGTGCTGGAGCCACCCATGACTTTGCAAAAAGACTGGAGCATTCCAAGATCTGAAAACGGATTTTTTTTCTTTTTTTTTTTTTAGCCGGGATTATTTTATTTTTATGAATTTGTTTTTAGTTTCATGAAAGAGTAGATCCAGAACTGCTGTACATATTTCTAACTAGGCTGATGCACAGTGCAAATTTTTTTGTTTTTTTAAAAAAGTAGAAAATACTAAAGAATACCATCTAACTATTCATACCAGTATCCAGCTGTAGCGTAAGGTGTCAAAAACAAGTACGCAAAACATTTACGGTTTTAACAAGCTATTTCCTTTTAACAAGAATTCTTGTATTTCTCCCTGTGTTTGAGATGAACATTTTTAAATTTTAAAGTTGTACAGTTTGTTTTTCATTATTTTATCTTGTTTGTAACTCTATGAAATATATATATATATTTTTTGCCATTTAATTGTTGTATGTTACTCTGTGTCTGTATCATATAGAAAAGAAAAAGTTGGTTTTTGTTCCTGGTTCTCTATGTGAAACCAGTTAACAATTTAACACTAGCTTTACCTGTCAGACTCTGCTAGGTCTTCTCTGAAAACTTTGTTTTTAAAAACAATGATATTGCTTGGTAATAGTGCAATTTCTATCCTGGCCCCTCCCCTTCTCCCAGCTTTAAGTTCCTTTCTTTGTAACTGTGCCATCCCCTTCCTAGTGGTCTTAGTGTGTTTTTGTTTTTGAGCTACTATGCCATCCTCCCTCTGTGAGGCAGAGCGACTGTCAGTGTTTGGTTATGCCATGCCTTGACCGTGGGTGTTTGGCAACAATGAGGTGGTCGGTGCGTCGGCTCAGCCCGCGTCCGCTCCCCAGGGCTCCCCACGGGGTGACTGCTTCTACCTGGAGTGGGTTGCACGCTTGACGCTTTCCAGCTGTCCCATCTACCTGTGAGTTCATTCAAGAAACAAACAAACAAAAGTAATCCTCAGCACTAACCCAGAAGCAGCAAAGCAGCCAGTGCTGGCGAAAAGCGGGAGGTCGAACCGAGCGGGGCCGAGGGTCGTGGGCTGTGCCCGGTGTTCGCTAAGTGCTCAGCTGGGTACGGTAACGGTCTGCTCCTGGCTGCCGCGGCACGAGGGTGAACAGGATTTCTTAGTTCACTTTTTAAATTTGTTCGTCCCCTCTGCTGATATTTCACTTTTGGTTGCTCTCCCCTCCTCCCCTAACATACTCCACAGTGTGTGTGCGTGTGTGTTGCGGGGAGGGCGCCAGAGAATTCTGTCATGACACTAAACTGATCCACCAAGTGGGAGTAATTAAACCCATCCTTCCAAAAAGAAACTTTAAAAATGTGGAACACACACATGCACACCTGCACACACACGGACAACTCTGGTACATCTAGGAACTTTTTTTTCTTAATTAAAAGCTATTTAAATAGATGAATGTGGCCAAAAGTTTTACAAAATTGAAAATAAAGTAAAACAGACGGCATGTGTTTTAAACCTGAGTTTATCAGGCATGGCAGGAAAGTTGCAGGAGAGAGAAGCAGTGACCCAAGCCAGTGCACTTGACGTTCATGGACATATATTTTTTTTTAAAAATAATAAATTTAAACATTTTAAATAGAAACATAAATTGAGTTGGCTCTTTGTTGGCGCTGAGATACTGCCCACTGTGAAACAAAGCTTTGACTAGTTTTTTGTTTGTTTGTTTACTTTCTTCGGGGGGAGGGGGGCAAATTTGGGTAGGAAAAAAAAGCATAAATGAACGTGACCCTGGGCGAAGAGGTATATGAACAGCCTTTGCAATGTACAAAAAAAAATAATAAAACAAACAAAAAAAAAAGAAAAAAAACACAAAAAAACAAAAAAAAAAATAGAGCAAGTGAAACCAAAAATGATGTTCTTGGTGTTTTTCTATAATGTAGTCTTGTTAGCTTTTTTGTTACTGTAACAATGCTGATCTTGAACTGTACCAAAAGACATGGAGACTAACAAACAGAACCACATGGAACTTTCAAACTGAAAAAAAAAAAAATTTGTCACAAAAACTTTGTTGTCATAGTTAAGTTGATTGTAGATGGTAATTGAATATACTCCTTTGAAAATATTTCATCAAGTATGTTTCCTGCTCATTGTGATACATTAAAAAAATATGAGCAAAAGTTCTTGTCTGTTACCAGATTTGTGCATATGTATGTGAAATCAAATAGAGGGCAGTGGTCGGAAATGTGTGACTACGAGCAGCGCCTTCGGGCCTCTGCAGGGAGTGTGCCGGGACCGCAGGGATGCACGCATGGCCTGTCCTGTTTCTCCCTTCCAAGTGCTGACCAGGCCCGACCCTGCTGAGCCTCCGAGATCAGACGAGACCGGGCGCGTTCAGGGTGGTGTGGCCGTAGACGGACTGTCGTGTTTGCAGATACCCTTGGCTCGTGTCTAGTCTCCTGGCACTTTGAAGTGAGAGCCATGACAGGATTTGTTGATTTCACTGGGAGCATTACCTCAAAGGTAGAAAAACATTTTCTATTTGCTGGTTCATGATCCAGATGCCATACAGGCAGGACTGGGGACTCTATCTGGGTCTCCCTTCTGGGTCCGTAAGTCCATGCAGGCCCCCGCCCGTACCATCCCAGCCATGTACACCAGGAGCTGGGTCGGAAGAGCCCAACAGCCAGGACGCCCACCAGGCACTGCAACATGCAACCTAGGGTTCTGAGGACCAACCCCTGTCACGCGATGCCCACACTGCAACTTGATTTATAATTTGAATGTTTATGTGAAAATTAATAGACATTTGGCACAACTATGCACAAAGAACTTCAGCTGACAGGTGCAAGAGAGGTAGACCAAATTTCTCTGGAAAGGGAGTTGGATCCCAGTCGTGGACAGAAGGACACAAAGGGCAGCCTGCAGTGAGGGGTGAGAGCGCGGACCCTTCCCAGCAGCCGCAGCAGAGCAGAGCTGGAGATGGAAATAGCCTGCAGGCAGCAGTGGCATTGGGAACTCCTGCCTGCAAGGGGAGACCCAATCCTTGTATCAAAAACTCCCTTAACCCACAAAATGCCTGAAGAGTGTCAATACAGAGTCCATCCAAGATCAAGCCCAGGGCTCTTCCATTCAGCTCTCATTTATAGTCACGCTTCATAAGTAACTTAGAAAATCTGTGGTCTGCTCTTGGTCAACAGCGATATTTCTTCCCCCAGAAATTAAGCTACAAAACTGCCGTTGGCTCGGACTACCATTGTCAACCCAGCCTTTTTTTCTTCTTAGTTCCCTCAGCAGGCATCAAAGAAGTACTGGATCTATGAATAGGAACATTTCCTAGGATTCCGTCCCTGTGCTGGGAGAGAAAAGCTGGCCCCCTGGCCAGTGCCTGAGCCTCTGCCGGACAGGGAGCAGCGCCGGTCCTGACGACACCGGATCTTTCCCTAGGCGCTGCAGAAGCAGGTGGCTTCTATCTTGGCTTGCTTCATAGATACACAGTTATGTCACTGACCTCTTATGCGCCCCACGAAAAGGTACAGTGTGATAAAAACTGTTCACTCCCAAAGCTACATCTGCCGTTCTAAGCTATAATTATTTTAGGACCTGGCGGGATCACATTGAGCCGTTTTAAATAGAACCAGTTTCACAGAGCGGTCTTGCTGCTTCAGCTTTTTGGAGGAAGGTGACTACAATTCAAATTCCTCTGCAGATAACTCTTTGACTAGAAAATAAGACAAAGCATCAGTAATGGCTGAGCTCTTTGTATGGAACCGCCCGCACCTGAATCTCACCAGGAGAAGTTAGGCAAGAGACCTGAGACCTCTGTTTCTGGAAAAGGCTTTTTTTTTTAACTTAAGCGAAGAGAAGTGTTTCAATCTGGCTTCAATATCATGCTCATGTGGGTATTAATCTTCTTGGAATTAATAGTTTCTCACCCCACTCTGGAAAATGTGAAATGGCAGTATCTTGAAATGGTTGGTATGTGTTAGGTAGCTGTTCCTAATTTTGCTTTAGAGAAATGTCTGCAGTTCCTGGTCTCCATTATAGACTAATGACCTTCCAAACCTC